ACACATCATTTTTTAAAATATGCCGCAAGCTCGTATCCGTGAACTGCCGAAGATATGGCTACTTACGCTGCATATTTTTCAGCCGTATAAAATGCTCACTGCAGCAGTCTCGCAGTACGTTCGCATAATTTTATGATAGCTGTCAAATCTAACAGTATTCCCAAATACCAGTACAAGCACAACCCAGTAAAAGTCAAAGGAAGGAAGAAATTTGATCAAAAGTGAAAAAAAAAGGGCGATAGGGCTTAGTGTCTCGAAAAATTATTGCGTTGGCAGAGTGGATAAGCTGAAGTATGCAGGAGTTAAATGGGACAAATTTTGACGGCAGCGAATTTATAAATAAGTAGTACGGACTTGATAGAAGTTGACAGCTGCTTTTATTTTGGGAATGAAGTAAGTATGCGTTACAATCTACAGCCAGACGTTGCACATCAAAGGGTTATTGATTGGTGCAAAGAAAGAGAAACGTGTACGCTTATTTACCTCAGCTAGCATGTTTTCCATGTGAGTGAAAAAACCGTATTTCTATTATGCAAGGAAAAGCTGTTACTACGAACTTCCAAAGTGTGTGTGTGTGTGTATTTCGATTTCAGTGATGAGAACTGCTAAGATTTATTTACTATCTTTTAGTGGCAGTCCTTTTCGAAGGTACAGCACGCAACACGAGAAGAAATGCATTAACACATTTGGCAAAATATGTGTGATAATAAAAACAGCGTTAACACATCACTGTACAAAAAAAGCGTCAAAATATAGGTCGTACTATCATTGCACAAGTAGCAAACGAATGTAGCCAACCATAGGAAGCATCTACTCCCTCAGCCACGATTGTAACAACAAGCTACAGAGCATCTGTCAGGAGTTCATAGCAATGCCGGAAATGAAGCTAATCTGGATTGCGCTTCGATACATTACTGTGGGATATTGACCATTCGCGATTTCAGTTAGCGCATTTTGCTCCACCAGTTCTATTATGACTGCTCTGTCCGCTGCTGTCAGCTGTTGATGGTCGCATTTTCATGTTTTGTTCAGTCTTTGGCAGTAAACTGGTACCAGAAAGTACGAATTCTTTTTCAGTTTGACATTAATCCCAAATAATTTGTTTTATAAAGATTTACAGGATCGAAACAGTCGTGATTACAAATTTCTTTACTTTTCCATTCAATAACCTCCTAAACTTCACGGACTGTAAAATAGTGCTAAAAAATGCAATGAGACCGTTTCTATTTTTTAGCATCAAATTAGCAAAAGTTCCCAAAAATTCTTTTGTTAAGTTTCCTCCGCTCATAAAATATCTTTTTACATGTTTTATTGAGCTAATTAAGGCGTTTTTCTGTTTTCCTCTTTCACAAACAAGTTTTGCTGGAATGCTGCAACGACTTCGCAGCCTTTTCAGGCAGTCAAGTGGTATCTGAAAACACATTCATTTTTAATGTCTCTTAAGTTTTACGTATTCTCTTCATAAATTATCTTCATTGAGATTGCTCGGCCTATCTTGGAGTTTTAAACATTAACGCCTGCTCTGTTATAAGCATGCTTTTTACGCGACTCAGCATTTAGGCTGAACGGACACCGTTAATCAAGCGTAAAATCGTTTGCACAGTCATTTTTATTTCATGCACCTAGGAAGAAATAAAAATTATTTTCTTTTTATTTC